ACTCCCCCCGAACCTCAATTTCCCCATCCAAGCCAGCCTAGCGGGGACCAATAGGCGGGCAGCATTTCGGCCACACCCACAACCCGCGCTTTAGCAAGATATGGTTTAAAAAGATGTTTATTAAACTTGTTCAAAAGATACATTTGTAAATTATTTTCTGAAATTCTGTGTCTTTGAATAGTTGGAGCAAAATAACTACCGAGCCGAGTTAAACCATTTCGGCGCTGGGTTTCTGGTGCTTACGTCGGCCGCGCGGCGTACAACTATTATTATTTAAATAACTACCGAGCCGAGTTAAACCATTTCGGCGCTGGGTTTCTGGTGCTTACGTCGGCCGCGCGGCGTACAACTATTATTATTATTATTATTACAGTAATAGGCCAAGTCTTTGTGAAAATGTAAGAAAAGGCTGTGCAGTCCTGTCCTGCCGATAACCTTGTTGTCCCGATTAAACTTTGTTACCCAGGCGGTATGATCTCGAAAATATGAGTGGCAGCATATCGATACCCTTTTTAAAGACAAGGTTTGATTTGCCGATTCCGAGTTTCTAGTGCTGAAGCCGCCGACACTGAACACCAAGTGTTGACGTAACTTCGGCACTGGGGATCTAGGACGGAAGCAGCCTCACCTCTGTATACCGAGTGCTGAGATAGGAACCCGTTACTTCGGTACTTGCATTATTTTCACCCCAAATACACCAATTCTTACATTGCTTATCTGACATTTCCAACTCAGATTACCTGCCGCGCCGTACGGAAGGATGCTGTTCAACCCTATTGTCGAATGGAATCGCCCGCAAAGTGGGCGTGGCCCGGAATGCTGGTCACCCATTGGTCGCCGCTAGGCTATGTGGATGCGAAATTGATGTAGGCATCCCCCCCCCCCATAATTGAATTTAAGTCATTTCGCGTGTGGATGCCACTCATTTAAGTACTATGTACATGTATGTCATGTTATAGCCTTAGAAGGTTATGTCTGTCTGGGTGCAATCAAGTCGTCTTTTTACTTAGTAAATGTAAAATATTCTACAACAAAATTAATTATCAATTCACATGCGGGTTGACAATATCGCTGATGAGCAACGTACCCACAATGTCACCAAAGAAGATTTCCTTTTCTTTCCTTTTCCTCCTAGGCTCAAACTTGACGTAACTGATGTCGTCAGGAATGTCCGGGGTTGGACCTTTCAGCAGAGACTCCAGCCGGGCCGTGACGTCAGAATACACGTTCATGACGTCAAAGTCACTGCCATGCTCCACGACTTTCTGTGAGAAGTCCACTGTGCTGGACAGACAGCCTAAGGTGCTCTCAACACTGTCTGCTGTAGCAGAGAGCTGCTTAGAACGGGCTGCTGTGACGGCCGCTAACTTTTCTTTCAGTTCAGTCTGTTTGCGTCTGACAAGGCCAGTGTAGTACTTGATCTCTTCCTCCGCAGCTGCATCGATGTCGTCTGCAGCTTTCTTACTCCTGGTGTCCAGTTCTTCTTGCTTCTCAGCTACGACTTCTGCAGCGCCTCGGTATTCCTTAATTATCGGCCTGGCAGCTTCCAACTTCTCTTTGATCTTTTCCCTGACGTCACCCACAACGTCTGCCAGCAAGCCGTACTTGTGGTCTTTGTGCTGCAGTACCGTGCAGTCCCGGCAGATGGGACTCTGGCACGTCTCACAGTAGAACTTTAGCTTCTCGTCTTCATGTTTTGGACACATAGGCAGAGATCTTGAGTTTACTGAGGGTGTTTTTGTGATCAGCTGCTCTTTTAACTCTGCCACGCCGATGACTTCATGACCACGCGTACGCTTGGCACGACGGTGGACTCGAGCACATTCGTCACACAAGAACTCTTCACACACAACACAGCCACCGTTAGCCACTTCTTCACAGACATCACAAGGCACTTTGTCATCCTCCTTGCTAACCAAACTCTTGTGAGCGTCGACGGTGTCCCTCAAGCTCAGGACAAAGAAGTTGTTTTTGAGCCCGGCGACACCGCCCTCCGGAAGTACAGTTTCGATCCGACATGTTGGACACGGAAACTTGTCCTTCGCCTCACCTTGTTTCGCTACAAACTTCTCCAGACAGTCCTTACAGAAGGTGTGAAGACACGGCAGGATCTTGGGGTCCTTGTAGGGCTCCAGGCAGATCGTACACTCCAGAAAGTCGCCCGAAATCTGGCTGAGTACGGCCTCCGCCATGACGACGTACACCTGTACGCCTCAGGTGAGATACCGTTACAGGTGAACTTTGAACTTCTGTCAGGGTCACTGTTTAAAAAAGGATAAGGTTTCAGCGAGAACCTGACCAGGTAAGTGTAACTACTGACATCATTTCTCCCTCAATGGCCGACGAATATGTAATAAAGTCTGTTTTGATGTACAATAGATAATGTAAGAGACTGCGAGGACGGGTCATTGACCTTTATGCACACACACTAGTCACACACGTGACTAGCTTATTTATCGATGTACGGTACAAAAGTAAATGTGGTCTAGCCGTTCTACCTTTGAATTGTCGCTTGAATATATGGTAAGGACTGCCATTTTCTAAACGCTATGTCTTACGTTCTTACAAGCTACAGATAACAAGCATCAACAATGCATGAATTTGTAGCACAGCTATATGATCGGTATATGACAAAAACTATAACTTAATGAAATGATTAGTTTCCTCCAAGGCTTGACAACGATTTAAAAAGAAAGATGAACTGAGAAAGAAAATACTTGATTCTGCTGTGGGAGAACAAAGAATGTGCCAAGTTGGTGTTGCCATGGCATTTGACATGTTTTCTCAATAGTCAGGTAGTCGACATTGTATCCAACCTAGTGGAAAAACAATATCACAGTGTGCAACCTACCTAGAGCTTGTCTGTGAGTTACATGGTTGGTTTTAAGTTGTGTCCTGGATGTACCACAACGGACCTTCCACTGTGTTGTTTGAAATTAACTGTGTAACGATGTATGCTTTGTACCAAATATGTTGTGATACGTTAAAAACCTGTTATTCTTTTCAACACGTCGTGACAGCATTTCTTCTACTGTTAATTAATTCCTGTTGTATTATACCACACAACTGGAGTGAACCGTATCATGAAAGTTCATCTGTGTTGGTAGTTACATGTTAAAAGTTAAAACTTTTGGTCCAACACAAAGAAGTTATCTCACCTTGTGTTGACGTCACACTTCAAAGAAGCCACGAGACAAGCTTCACTGGGTCAGTCTACTGAGGAAGACCAGAGTGACTGGTCGAAAGCTCTAGGTGAGAGAATTTTTTTTGTGTTGGACCAAAAGTTTTAACTTTAAACATGGAGTGAACCTTGCCTGCATGTTGGCTCTATTGTCAACGTAACTTGCTCATTACACATTAGAAGTCCATGTACCTTGATGATAAAGCCATTCCACTTTGAAAGCTTAGCATAGAGGATTAACTAAAACTTAAAGTTAAGCCGCTAGACAACAAATACAAGACATCCATCCTTTAATCATGTATTTGCTGAATTCCATTAGTTGACAGAATGAAGAATTCCAGTGACTTAGTAGATATGCCGATTTGCCTGAAGTTTGAATTGAAGGCAAGAAAAAGAATACAAACTCTCATCCTTAGGTATTTTACTTCGTTGCAATAGCCAACAGAATGAAACATGCAAGGGCAGTCTGCATAGATCCAATTTAGTCAGAAACAAACTAATGTTTCTATGCTTTTATATATTATATATCTGATTATTATACTGGGCATATCCATTCTCTTACCCCTCTACTTCAAAGTAGATCATACTCAGGACTTTTTAACTTGCATATTGTACAACTTAAACTCCTCATTCCGAGTTGAAGTGTTATTTCGGTACAGTTAGCCAGAATATCACAGTTGAAGGCTTATTATTATATAAACACATGCAAAGTCCTTACTAGCAATTACGTTAGCCTGGTATCCAGTCTGATCGTGATTGGGGGTATTGGGGTGTTTAGGCAGGTTGTGTCTTCGGGGCCTCTAAGAGCTTCCCCCACTCAGTGCAACAGACCGTCCCGGTAGGAGTGTTACGCTAATCAGAGACAGTATGCTCGGGGATTTGGTTGCCTGGTATCCAGTCTGATCGTGATTGGGGTGTTTAGGCAGGTTGTGTCTTCGGGGCCTCTAAAAGCTTCCCCCGCCCAGTGCAACAGACCGTCCCGGTAGGAGTGTTACGCTAATCAGAGACAGTATCCTCGGGGATTTGGTTTCCCCCAACACGTGGAGGGCTAATTAATCTCTCGTGAAATACACACCGGGAAGCTTATGTGAGGCGGGCGGGCCAGAGCTCTTGCGGCCCCGACCACGAATCAGTCTGGATACCAGGCTATAATTACGTCTGTCTGAGCTCTTAAAGAAGCCTGTCAACATTTTTCTGCTCTATAGATAGCTGGTATTTGTTATATGATAGCATGTTTATCTTCATTCCTCTTGAGATGGTGACTACAAATGTTACTTTTCAGTATCTACGCCTGTCTGGTGATGACCACATACCCGGGTCCATCGTTTGCCCCATCCTGACCGCTCGTGTCAGTACCGGAGTTAAACGAACCGCCGCCTCCTCCGCCATTTGGGCTATAATTCTCTGCCCTGCCTCCCCCTGAGTACCCCCCTCCCCCACCTCCTCCACCATGGTATCCATAACTCCCTCCCCCTCCACCAAACCCACCATCAGCATTATGATATTGCCCACGCCCTCCAACCCCGCCATTCACAAATGCCTTCCCACCTTCCCCACCCTTCTCACAACTGTCGCCTCCTAACGGTTTAGAACTCCCTCCATCCGTCAGCAGCCCTCCCCCTCCCCCACCCATGAAGTTACCCTTCCATTCTGTCGCCCCCTGTCCGTTAGATCCTCCACTACAACCAGTTCCTCCACAACTCATGTTACCAGTAGTGGACACAGTCCCGTCACACAGGGGGTTATCGGGTCTGTAGTTCCCTCCCTCCCCCTCCCCCACCCCCGGCGATAATGACGGGGCGTGTTGTCCTCCCCCTGGTCGAACAAATGTACCGCCCCCTCCTCCTACACTCCAGTTACGCCCTGTTCTCAGCACCTTCTGTCCCATCAGGATCTTCAGAGTTTCACCTGCAGTATTGAAAAAGGAAGATCAGATTTTTGTATCCATTACTTATCATATACTCATCCATCTTTTTTTTAATTAACATGGAAAAAGAATAACAATTTTTACTGTATAATTATTCTTTTTTTTCCTACATTTAGTTACAAGTTAGAATGGAAGCAGATATCCAAATATTACTGTGTACTCTCTATAATGCCAATGTTGCAACACTTCTACAGTTGGTTTGTCACCAGTGCACCTAGATGGCTAGATATGTGTTTACCACTGCACACTTTCAAATTACAGACTTTTTTACAGAGACTAGACCATGTACATGTCCAGCTGAAGTGTCGCACCTTGTTTGAGGTTAAATGTTCCCCTCAGTACGGCACCCCGTCCTCGGGCGGACATCGGGTTGTATAGACCCCACCCTGCAGCAGCACCTGTCAATCAAACATGTCAGTCACTTTCAGTACACAAATCTAAAGAAAGATGGACTATTGAATCACTACAGCACGAAAGGGGAAACGATTCAAGCAAAAGGTTACGTGCTTCAAATTATTTTGGTAATATTATTTTATATATATATTATATTTCCATGTGTATGTGTGCTTAATTAAGTACACCAAACTTAACACCAGTTACATTTACTATTAACTAAACGTCCCTACCCGCTGCCTCTATGTTGTACGTTCCCGTCCCCGGTACAGTGAAGTGCTGTATCCCGTCATGTAGCGTCACCAGGTGTTCATGGTCCTGTCCCCTGTAGTGGGTACCCAGGGTAGTGGGGCCCAGACGGCCGCTGGCGCCCAGGGTGGTGAACGTCATCATGCAGCGATCTGGCAAAAAGGACCGCTACTTTGTTTTATAAGGAATGTAAAGGATCAAATGTTATATTTCACTTCATACCTTTGATCATTTATAACTGTATTTGAATATCACCTGGTTGGGATAACCACTCGACAGCAGAACATTTTTCATGATTTTAGCTGACCATAACACACCGAGACGCTTGTCTCACGTGAACATAAGTATCTTTCTCTCCTCACCTAATGTTGGTGAATAGTTACATATATCCATATATCGCTATACAGTAGGACATTCAGCAACAAGGAAATTTTACAGAACGTACCGACAATGTCGCCAAGGATGATTTCCCTTTCTTTCCTTTCCGTCTTGGGCTCAAACCTGACGTAACTGATGTCGTCAGGAATGTCCGGGGTTGGACCTTTCAGCAGAGACTCCAGCCGGGCCGTGACGTCACAGTACACGTTCATGACGTCAAAGTCACTGCCATGCTCCACGACTTTCTGTGAGAACTCCACTGTGCTGGACAGACAGCCTAAGGTGCTCTCAACACTGTCTGCTGTAGCAGAGAGCTGCTTGGAACGGGCTGCTGTGACGGCAGCTAACTTTTCTTTCAGTTCAGTCTGTTTGCGTCTGACAAGGCCAGTGTAGTACTTGATTTCTTCCTCCGCAGCTGCATCGATGTCGTCTGCAGCTTTCTTACTCCTGGTGTCCAGTTCTGTCTGATTCTCAGCTACGACCCCTGCAGCGTCTCGGTATTTCTCAATTTTCGGCCTCGCAGCTTTCAACTTCTCTTTGATCTTTGCCCTGACGTCACTCACAACGTCTGTCAGGTAGCCGTACTGGTGGTCTTTGTGCTGCAGTACCGTGCAGTCCCGGCAGATGGGACTCTGACACGTCTCACAGTAGAACTTCAGCTTCTCGTCTTCATGTTTTGGACACATCGGCAGAGATCTTGACTTGGCCGATGACGTCTTGGTGATCAGCTGCTCTTTTAATTCCGCCACTCCGATGACTTCATGGTCACGTGTACGTTTGGCACGACGATGGGCACGAGCACATTCCTCACACAAGAACTCTTCGCACACAACACAGCCACAGCTAGCCACTTCTTCTTCACATACATCACAAGACACTTTGTCATCTTCCACACTAGCTACACTTTTGTGAGCGTCGACGGTATCCCTCAAGCTCAGGACAAAGAAGTTGTTTTTGAGCCCGGCGACACCGCCCTCCGGAAGTACAGTTTCGATCCGACATGTTGGACACGGAAACCTGTCCTTCCCCTCACCTTGTTTCGCTACAAACTTCTCCAGACAGTCCTTACAGAAGGTGTGAAGACACGGCAGGATCTTGGGGTCCTTATAGGGCTCCAGGCAGATCGTACACTCCAGAAAGTCGCCGGAAATCTGGCTGACTACGGCCTCCGCCATGACGACGTACACCTGTACGCTTCAGGTGAGATATCGTTACAGGTGAACTTTGAACTTCTGTTCAAGACATGGTCACTATTTACAAAAGCATCAGGCTTCAGCGAAGACCCGACTAGGTAAATAAAACTACTGACATCATCTTTCCCTCAAATAAAAAGAGGGCTTCCGTGCATACTACGAATATACATAATTATGTAGTGGATTCTGTTTTGATGTACAATAGATAGGTTGCGTAATCTTTATTACCTCCATGAAATGGAAGGTATTGTTTTTGGCGCGTCTGTGTGCGTGTGTGTGTGTGTGTGTGTGTGTGTGTGTGTGTGTGTGTGTGTGTATGTGTGTTTGTGTTTCCGCTTTTTTGTACCTTCATAAGTTCATAACGCCTTCATGGATTGTGGTGATATTTGGTATGCTGGTAGGTGTTAGGGGGGCGAAGGTCAAGGTCAAATATGGGCCTCCTGGTGGATGGCCTTGGTAGTGCAGTAGCACTTCCGGTTTGATGAGGAATCTCCTTTGCAGCCAACAGATGTGTCATTGTGTGGCTATCGAGTCAGTGCGCTTGGAACCCGGTTTGATTAATGGGGTTCCCTCAGGGGAATAGGTGACCTATTTCAGGGTTAGGGTTTGTATTAGCTGCAGGCCTGATTAGCTGTGTGTTTGAAACACTTAGTGTACTGTATACAAAAACTCATATATTTCATGGAGGCGTGTCTGTCTGTGTGTGTGTGTGTCTGTATGTGTGTGTGTCTGTGTGTTTGTGTTTCCGCACATTTGTAGTCAGCATAACTCCATAACGCCTTTATGGATTGCGATGATATTTGGTACGCTGGTAAGTCTTAGGAAGACAAAGGTCAAGGTCAAATATGGGCCTCCTGGTGGATGACCTTGGTACTGCAGCAGAACTTCCGGTTTTTGTATCTTTTGTCCTAAACATGCTATGGTCTTGACTTTTTGGTGACAGATAGCTTTTCCTGTCAGGAATAAGTGGCGTGAGTTTGGTCCCCCTAGCAGCTTGTTTTGGAACTGCAGGAGATTTTCGGGCGAAATCTTTAAAAGCCAATAAGTCCAGATAGGAACAAGGTATTACCATCATTTTTGGTAGGTAGGTAGCTGAGAGACAGATGTACATAATTAACTACAAATTATGCAAATGGTGACTTAATTTGCATAATTAATGAGGACATTCTGTATTTACAGTGTTTTACATTATAGTACTTTCATACATGTAATGTATGTAATCTATGGCAGATGGAACATCAACAGATACCAATTATGCAAATGATGACCTAATTTGCATAATCAATGCGAAAATTCGATGACTCCTTAGTGGTAACTGATGGGAATTTCATACTTGGTACATGTGTAAGTTAATCAAAAGTTAACATCACGATGCATTTATTATGTTAATGTGGAGGTAATTTACATAATTAAAGAAGAAATTTACATTTACATTTCAAGCCCATATTTCATGGAGGTATGAGATCTCGGAACTCTTGTTGTAGCTGTACACGTATTCCTTAAAGTTATATAGCCTTGGCTTATGTATGCATTTGGCAAATAGATGTTCTAATACATGTACAAGTGCAATACAGTGGACGTTATAGGATTTGTAACTGTAAGGAAAAGTCACCTAATGAAACATAAAGCTTGATAATGTATCCTTGGGCATAGGCACAGCGGGCTCATTTCACATACGGTGGGGTTGGGGATGCCAAGCTAACAGTTCTCTTGATAAATATATATATATAGTGAAGCCCGTATCGTGGCTATACGCTGTCCTGTAGACAACATACTAAGCATTTGAACAGTTGGCCTATACATGTAGTATGTACAGCACACAGTAGATACCTGTATACTGGGTTAGGTGGGTGGGCGGGGCTATTCCAAGCTGGCACTATGTAATGACAGAGCCTGGCTTTGGGGAAAACGTTTTGTACATTGGGGGTAAAGCTACGCACTTAAGCAGCAGCCACTGTTGTGTCGGTATAAACCCAGTAACTGTAGCCAAGGAAGAAGAAGAGAAAGAAAAAAACAGATAATGTATGTATAAATAGAGCAGAATGACCAAGCTACAGACAAGAAGCATCAACAATGCATGAATTTGTAGCACAGCTATATGATCGGTATATGACAAAAAATATAACTTAATGAAATGATTAGTTTCCTCCAAGGCTTGACAACGATTTAAAAAGAAAGATGAACTGAGAAAGAAAATACTTGATTCTGCTGTGGGAGAACAAAGAATGTGCCAAGTTGGTGTTGCCATGGCATTTGACATGTTTTCTCAATAGTCAGGTAGACGACGTTGTATCCAACCTAGTGGAAAGACAATATCACAGTGTGCAACCTACCTAGAGCTTGTCTGTGAGTTACATGGTTGGTTTTTATGTTGTGTCCCGGATGTACCACAACGGACCTTCCACTGTGTTGTTTGAAATTAACTGTGTAACGATGTATGCTTTGTACCAAATATGTTGTGATACGTTAAAAACCTGTTATTCTTTTCAACACGTCGTGACGGCATTTCTTCTGTTAATTAATGTCTGCTGTATTATACCACACAGCTGGAGTGAACCGTATCATGAAAGTTCATCTGTGTTGGTAGTTACATGTTTAAAGTTAAAACTTTTGGTCCAACACAAAAAAGTTCTCTCACCTAGTGTTGACGTCACACTTCAAAGAAGCCACGTGACAAGCCTCACTGGGTCAGTCTACTGAGGAAGACTAGAATGACTGGTCGAAAGCTCAAGGTGAGAGAACTTTTTTTGTGTTGGACCAAAAGTTTTAACTTTAAACATGGAGTGAACCTTGCCTGCACGTTGGCTCTATTGTCAATGTAACCTGCTCATTACACATTAGAAGTCCATGTTCCTTGATAATAAAGCCATTCCACTATAAAGATTTAGGAGAATGGATAAACTAAAACTTAAAAGTAGGCCGCTAGACAACGAATACAAGACATCCATCCTTTAATCATGTATTTGCTGAATTCCATTAGTTGACAATGAAGAATTCCGGTGAGTTAGTAGATATGCCGATTTGCCTGATGTTTGAATTGAAGGCTAGGAAAGGAATACAAACTTTCATCCTGAAGTATATATTTGCTTTGTTGCAATAGCCAACAGAGTAAAACAAGCAAGGGCAGTCTGCTTAGATCCGACTTAGTCCAAAACAACTTCTTGAAATTTGTAGACACTATTGTTTCTCTGCTGTTACCTCTGATTGTTAATGTTATATGGGGCATATCCATTCTCTTACCCCTTCAAAGTAGATCATACTCGGGGCTTTCTAACTTGCATATTGTACAGCTAAGTTCTCATTCTGGTACAGTAAGCGAGAATATCACAGTTGAAGGCTTAAAACATGCAAAGTCCTTACTCAGTAACTATGTCTGTCTGAGCTCATAAAGAAGCCTATCAACATTTCTGCTCTATGGATAGTCGGTATTTGTTATATGATAGCGTGTTTATCTACACTCCTCTTAAGATGACTACAAATGTTACTTTTCAGTATCTACCCCTGTCTGGTGATGACCACATACCCTGGTCCGTCGTTTGCCCCATCCTGACCGCTCGTGTCAGTACCGGAGTTAAACGAACCGCCTCCTCCTCCGCCATTTGGTTCACGATCCTCTCCCCTGCCTCCCCCTGAGTACCCCCCTCCCCCACCTCCTCCACCACCGTTTCCATAACTCCCTCCCCTCCACCAAACCCACCATCAGCATTATTACATGCCTCACGCCCTCCAACCCCGCCATTCACAAACGCCTTCCCACCTTCCCCACCGTACTGACAACTGTTGCCTTTAAACTGTTTAGAACTCCCTCCATCCGTCAACAGCCCTCCCCCTCCCCCACCCATGTATTCATCCTTCCATTCTGTCGCCCCCTGTCCGTTAGATCCTCCACTACAACCAGTTCCTCCATAACTCTTGTTACCAGTAGTGGACACAGTCCCGTCACACAGGGGGTTATGAGTCTGCAGTCCGACCCCCGCCCCTCCCCCACCCCCGGCGATAATGAGTGGCGTGTTGTCTCCCCTGGTGACAAACGTACCGCCCCCTCCTCCTACACCCCAGTACGACTTGTTCTCAGCACCTTCTTGTCCCACCAGGATCTTCAGAGTTTCTCCTGCAGTATTGAGAAAGGAACATCAGATTTTGTATCCATTACTTAATGAACTTATCATATACTTATCCATCTTTTTGGATTAACATGAAAAAAAGAATAACAATTTTCCTATATACTTATTTCTTCTTTTACAATTTTAGTTAGTTACTAGTACAATGGAAGCAGATAACTATTCCAAATATTTTTTCTGTGTACTCTCTATAATGCCAATGTTGTAACACTGTTCTAATGTTGGCTTGTCACCTAGATGGTAAGATACGTGTTAGCCGCTGCACAGTTTCAAGTTAAGACTAAACCAGTACATCTCCTACAGTTGAATTGTCGCACCTTGTTTGAGGTTATATGTTCCCCTCAGTACGGCACCCCGTCCTCGGGCGGACTTCGGGTTTCCCACACCCCACCCTGCAGCAGCACCTGTCAATCAAACATGTCAGGCACTTAGGCACTTTCAGTACACAAATCTAAAAAAAACAAGGACTATTAAATCACTACAGCACGAAAGAGGAAACAATTCAAGCAAAAAGTTATGGGCTTCAAATTATTTTGGTAATATTAAGATTACGCACCAAATACTTATTTCCATGTGCACGTGTGCTTAATTAAGTACACCAAACTTTACACCAGTTACATTTACTATAAGCTAAACGTCCCTACCCGCTGCCTCTATGCTGTACGTTCCCTTCCGCGGTACAGTGAAGTGTTGTATCCCGTCATGTAGCGTCACCAGGTGTTCATGGTCCTGTCCCCTGTAGTGGGTACCCAGGGTAGTGGGTCCCAGACGGCCGCTGGCGCCCAGGGTGGTCAACTTTGCAGG